AAGGATCAGGACAAAATCTGCCAGCATTTCCCATAGTGTTGCCATGTAACTGAAAAAAAATTTTTTTTTGTTTTCTTTTTTTTAATATAATCATTTTATTGGGGGCTTGTACAATTCTTATCACAATCCATACATACATCCATTGAGTCGAGCACATTTGTACATTTGTTGCCATCATCATTCTCAGAACATTTGCTTTCTACTTGAGCCCTTGATATCAGTTCCTCATTTTTCCACTCCCTCCCCCGCATCCCTCATGAACCCTTGATAATTTATAAATTATTATTATTTTGTCATATCTTACACTGCCCAACATCTCCCTTCACCCACTTTTCTGTTGTCCGTCCCCCAGGGAAGAGGTTATATGTAGATCCTTGTTATCTGTTCCCCCTTTCCAACCCACTCTCCCTCTACCCTCCCAGTATCGCCACTCAGACCACTGGTCCTGAAGGGATCATCACCCTGGATTCCCTGTGTTTCCAGTTCCTATCTGTACCTGTGTACATCCTCTGGTATAGCCAGATTTGTAAGGCAGAATTGGGATCATGATAGTGGTGGGAGGTAGCATTTATGAACTAGAGGAAAGTTGTATGTTTCATCATTGCTACATGGCACCCTGACTGGCTCATTTCCTCCCCATGATCCTTCTGTAAGGGAATGTCCAGTTGTGTACAGATGGGCTTTGGGTCCCCACTCTGTACTCCCCCTCATTCACAATGAGTTGATTTTTTTGTTCTGATGATGCATGATACCTGATCCCTTTGACATCTCGTGATCACACAGGCTAGCGTGCCTCCTCCATGTGGGCCTTGCTGCTTCTGAGCTAGATGGCTGCTAGTTTATTTTCAAGCCTTCAAGACCCCAGACGCTATATCTTTTGATAGCTGGGCACCATCAGCTTTCCTCACCACTTTTTTTATGCATCAGCAGAGCACAGTCTGATCTAGTACCAGGAAATGATCCCCTAAAATTGGAAGGCATTCAAACCACAACTGGAAAAGTGCTATCTCCTCAAGTAGAGTCAATATTAATGATATGTAAATGGAGAAACGTCTCATAACTTTCTCCCACTGATGGAGCATGTCTCAGAAGAAGAAAAACAGCTTCAAACATCCATTAACAATCAGAAGGTGGAATGCAGGAATTATTATTTCAGAAAAATGGATATTGTCAAAAAGAAAATGAAATGCATAAAGTTTGATATCCTAAGCATTATTGAGCTAAAGTGGACCAGTACTGATCATTTTGAATCAGATAGTCATATGGTTTAGTGTGTGAAATTAAAGATTCAGGAGGAAGGGTATCACATTCATTGTCATAGGGGACAATTTAAGATTTATTTGGAAGTGCAATGTTGTCTTTGATAGAGTAATAGCTATATTTTTTTAAACCTTTTTATTAAGGGCTCATACAACTGTTATCGCAATCCATACACACATCAATTGTGTAAAGCGCATTTGTACATCATTCTCAAAACATTTTCTCTCCACTTAAACCCCCGGCATTAGGTCCTCATTTTCCCCACCCTTCCCGCTCCCCCCTCTCTCATGAGCCCTTGATAGTTTATAAACTGGTATTTTGTCATATCTTGCCCTGTCCGACGTCTCCCTTCACTCATTTTTCGGTTGTCTGTCCCCCAGGGAGGAGGTCACATATAGTTCCTTGTAATCGGTTCCCACTTTCCTACCCACTCTCCCTCTACCCTCCCTGTATCGCCACTCACACCACTGGTCCTGTAGGGCTCATCCACCCTGGATTCCCTGTATTTCCAGTTCCTATCTGTACCAGTGTACATCCTCTGGTCTAGCCAGATTTGCAAGGTAGAATTCGAGTCATGGTAGTGGGAGTGGGGAGGAAACATTTAGGAACTAGAGGAAAGTTGTATTTCTCATCATTGTTACATCGCATGACTGGCTAGTCTCCTCCCCGAGACCCCTCTGCAAGGGGATCTCCAGTGGCCTACTAATGGGCTTTGGTTCTCCACTCCGCAGTCCCCCCATCATTCACTATGGTAAGATGTTTTGTTCTGATGATGCCTTATACCTGATCCCTTAGACACCTCGTGGTTGCATAGGCTGGTGTGCTTCTTCCATGTGGGCTTTGTTGCTTCTGAGCTTGATGGCTGCTTGATTACCTTCAAGCCTTTAAGACCCCAGACGCTATACTTTTTGATAGCTGGGCACCGTCAGCTTTCTTCACCACATTTGCTTATGCACCCATTTGTCTTCAGTGATCCCTTCGACACCTCATTATCACACAGGCTGATATGTTGTTCCATGTGGGCTTTGTTGCTTCTGAGCTAGATGGCCGCTTGTTTATCTTCAAGCTTTTAAGACCCCAGATAGCCGGGCACCATCAGCTTTCTTCACCACATTTGCTTAATCACCCGCTTTGTCTTCAGCGGTTGTGTCGGGAAGGTGAGCATCATAGAATGCCAATTTAATAGAAGAAAGTATTCTTGCATTGAGGGAGTACTTGAGTGGAGGCCCAATGTCCTTCTGCTACCTTAATACTAAACCTATAAATATAGGCTCATAGATCTATTTCCCCAATAGCTATATTCTTACAAGAAAGACAAGTTAGTATCACTATTATTCAAGTGTACACATCCACTACTGGAGCTAATGAAGAAATTGAAGCATTCCAATAACTTGTTAGGTCTGAAATTGATCAAACATGTGATCAAGATGTTTTAATAATTAATTGATAATTATCAATAATTAAAAACTATGTCTGTTGAAACGTAAAGGTTGACAACAAATGAATCTGAATTATCGTATTAGAGAAAGATCTTGAAAGTACTATGAATGGCCAGAAGAACAAGCACGTCTGTCTTGGAGGACATATAGGCAGAATGTTTCTTAGAACGGTGAATGGAAAGAGTTGTTCCGTGTGCTTGGTGCACATTATCAGGAGAGATCTGTCCTAGGAGAAGAGAATGCATGGTTAAGTAGAAGGCCAGCACAAAAGGAGGAAGTCATTCTGAGAGAGAGATGAAGAGTGGCTGCAACCATAGTTGAGGATAATAGCAATTGTGGAGATAATACAATGCCAAGAGGGGCATCCTTTGTTCTGTGGTCTACAGGATTAGTTTAAATCTAAACTGACTCCACCACACCTAATAGCAGATTCCATTATTCTTGCCTATGTGGTCTTATTTAGTATCAGTGATTGTCAACCTTCCTAATGCCGCGACCCTTTAATACAGTTCCTCATGTTGTGGTGATCCCCCAACCATGACATTACTTTCATTGTTACTTTGCAACTGTAATTTTGCTAATTATGAATCAGGTGACCCCTGTGAAAGGGTTTGACCCCCAAATGGATCTAGAAGCACAGGTTGAGAACCATAATTCTATACTGATTATATAATTACATACAGTACTTATAGAAGAAGCACACAAACAAAAAGTTAAAAACTAAGAAGTCACATATTAATTATTAACTTAAAGATCTTGCTGGAAACCAAATTATGGTATCACAGGGTTGTGGCCATCCAGGTCCTCTGGCTCAGTTTATTCTTCTCCATTTTATTTAAAAAAAAATTTCAGAGTATTGAATGTGGAAGATCCTATGTATGTGATTAAAATTCTACATATATGTGAAGACTATATTGAATATGATCCCCATTTGTGAGACTAAGCATTAATTCCTGATGATTGTTTAATATCCATTATTACAAACATAAAGTAAAACTCTCATGTTTCCAGTTCATTAAACAAAGACCTACAAGATCCCAAGTGTACTGCCTCCGAGTGAATTCTGACTCATCCTTTCTCAGAGGCTACAGCTCGGTATGAGAGAGCATAGCATCGTCTTTCCCCCGGAGCACAGTTGGTGAGTACAAACTGCGAGTAGTCCAATACAGAACCCACTCATGGTCAAGGCTTCTTATAGAGTAAATGTAGAACATCCAAATCTCACCTGTCTTTGATAAATATATCTTGACTCATTATGTGTGAGCTATTGTAGAATATATGAAAACTAAGATATTTGAGTATTTACTTCTACATTTTACAATTTGTGGTAACTACCAAATGATATCTTAAAAAAATAATTCACAGCTACAATGAAAATTGTTTAATAGTAAAATAACTTATTAATTGTGATATGACATCTTCATAAAAAGGATGGAATGTTAAAACAAGGGAACATTGAATTATAAGGATCACTATAGGCATACACACTACACATTAGGCTGATAAATGCAAGGTCGGGGATTCAAAGCTGCCAGCCTCTCTGTAAGATGAAGAGTAAGATGAAGCTGTCAGCACAGCAGCTCATTAGTAGAATAAATGCTGACCCAAAGAGACCAAGTTATAAGTTGGATATTTTAAAAGTTTGTTCCTTTGAAGTCATACTGGGACTATTTTTATTATATGTTTGTTTCTTATTTTGTGATGACTTGACATTTAGGAAAATTAGTTTATCATTCTGCAAGACATTCAGCTTGATGGACCACTCAGGACTTGTGAAGCATTCTGTTTCCACTCAGCCAAGACTTGGATGAAGGACAGCTGGCTCTGCCTTTCTTCAGCCTTTGAAAAAGGTAATATTCTGAACGATTAGTCAAAGACGCGGATAATTTTCCTATGTGCCTTATAGGTGCTGTGAACACTTCCAGGAACAACACCCAACATTTTTTGAAAAGTCCATAAAAATATAGGCTTGATTTAGACTTGGAAGATAATAGAAGCCATCATTGGTTTTAGATGCAAAGCATTAAGAAAATGATCACCTCAACACGAATGTTCTCAGTCAGGGTCTATTCTGGGGGCACTAGCTGTTGATCAGGATGGCAATGGCGATGCTTCGGAGGTAATATGGAGCCTCCTTCTAAGTACAAATGCTTGTTACTAATACTTTACCTCCTCTCCTCCCCCTCAAGAAACTTCAATGCATTCAGTAAAACTGAAAACAAAATCACATATGAGTAAAGCTAAAAATAAATTCACGCAAGAAATAGAAATCTAAAATTAAATATTTAATTAGAACTCTGATTTGCTTTAAAGATAGGTGGCATTGCACAAGCTATATTACACTTTCTTTATAATTTTTTGACAAAAAAGATACTGTTCATTTTAACAGGCCACTTTAATATTAATACATGTGTAATAGGATTGAAACTGAAAATCGGCTAGAGATGATACATTTTACATTACTGGGAAAATTACAGTTTTGTATTGTAAAAACATTTATTTTGAACAATTTACCTACATTAATCAAAAAATTACAGCATATTTAATAATTTTACAAATTCTTCATAAAAAATATATCTCTGTACAAAAAGGTCTTTTGCACCTACTTCATGTCAGCAGCATGTGGTGAAATGGCAAGATGGGACGGTGGGAATGATGATGGGTTAACCTGATCATAATGCCAGCGTTCTTTTTTCCCTTTTATAATAACGTTTTGTTATTGTTGCTTACAAAATAGTTTACAGAAGAAAAAAATTATTGCAGCTAGCCTGAACTGAAGAAAGGCAAGATGTGTGGGAGAAGCAGCAGTTTTAAACAGCTCTGAAGCACACAACCTGTTGTGAGCATACGGGGTTGCTTCCCCTCGCACGTGTCCTGGTTGCCTTCAGGGAAACGTTTTCGAAGACCTAGCGCAGTCAGTACGATTCCTGACGCCATCACAAGAGCCTTCCAACACCTCACAGGAAAATTGATTAAATACTGCACACACCCGATGAATAAACTAGGCATATTTCTCACAAGAGAATTCCGTTGGTTGATTTTTTTTTAATAACATGCTCCAAACCGGCAACCAAAGGTTAGTTTGACTTTGCGCACAAAGGAAAAAGTATCTGATCTGATATGTGGTTTCTTGAATGGATGTATCTCCTGTGATTTCAGGATTTCATAACGTCATTGACCAGCAAGCAGGTCAGGATATGAGAACAGAGACATTAATTCAGACTCTGAAGTCAGCATTTTGCACCTAGTTTGAATGACTCAAACTTAGATATGTACAATATATATATATGTATATATATACACCTAATATATATATGGTAACCCTGTTCTCCCTTGCACACAATGATCTCCAAACTTCCTGCAATGGTCGGTATGTTTTACTTCCATGTGTGTATTAGGAACTTGGCTCCGGCTGACCTCATCTAGACTACTGCAAAACAGTTCCACGAGGTCTCCAGGTTGTGAAGCAATCTCTGGAAATGTCGTCAGGTTGGCTAGAGGACAATATGCAGAGAATTCTGCATGATCATGTGGGACTGGTTGCAAAAGGCCAGGAAGGAGCTAGAAGAGGTTTGTTATGCCCTGCTAAGTGGATGCCACCTTAATGCGAGGGAACCAAACAGCTGGGAACCAAATCAAAAGAACTACTAAAATGTCCAAAGAAAAATGCATGGATTAAAGCACAAAGAGCTCTTGTCCTGACTTTTTTGCTCCCACGGTCCACTCCTGATGAATAGGCAACAGACAGACACATAACCAGTCTGGGAAGCTATGTGCAATGCACTTCAGCTAGTGAAGGCCAATTTCAAGATTCTCCTATTTCTATTGCTGCCAATCTGGGAAGGCGAAAAGGGGAGGTTTTCAGTGGATGGAATATGTACTTTGAAATAAAATATTAAAACAAACCTTATTTTCTCAAGCAAGTATAAATAAAAATAAACATCATTTTACTCCGAATTTGTTACCAAAACATTCCCATTTCCACAGGTTCTATTTGAGTTTCTCCACATTGGGAATCATACATATTTCATTTTTTATCATAAATCATAAGGTATCAGTCTGTAAATGAATTTCATACATTCCCAAATCACTAAATGTTGCCTTCTATTAGATGTATAAAGCATGAAACATAGACAAATTAATATATAAAATATGGCATTAGGAGAGGAGAGGACATGTGTTTTTTCTTGGCTCCCAGAGGGAAATTTAATATTTTGATATGAAGCATTTTCCACTGAGTTTAAGGTGCTACTGTAGAATGTTGTCTTTCAATGCAATATCATAGAAGGATGGCACCCCAAGGGGAAAATTAAAAGGTAACAATATAAAAGAGAAAACTGCATTTATCTAAAATAAATTACTATTCACATTTTTACATGACAAATAGCAATTGCTGCAAACACCCTGCAGTTAAGGAGCAGAATATGGACTATGGTTGAGTGACGGTGACCTGGAAGGAAGAAAACACATGGGGAATTTTAAAAAGGCCTCCTCTTTTCTCCCTCTCTCCTCATTGGCATTCTTCAGTGCAGTCAACACATAAATATAACTAATATAAGTATTGATATAATAAACCATTTCCAGAGCAGACTTCCTTTTAATACCTGTCCCATATCTGGGTTGTCTTTTTTTCTTTCCTTCATATCAACTAAACCGATAGTGGAATGTTTAGCTTGGAAATATGAGAGGGTGTGTATATACAATGATAGTGTGTATAAACCCTGTGTAAATAGTTTGTTTATCAGAATCTTACTCAGTCATTCATAATACACTAGTGCAAAAATTGTGCATCGAAAATTCTGCAATAGAAGAGCTGACTGGGAAATTTGCAAATGGCCCTAGGAATGAACACAGAGACAAGGTGAGTTTCTCCAAGGTTGTCAGGTCTCTGGGGTGGCAGAGTGAAGCATTTGGAGGTGTGTGCATCTATCAGAAAGGGTATCTTCTTCATGAAAGCTTTTTTGTTGTTGTTTTGTTTTCAAACTATTCATGTCTATGGGGGCTAAAACAAACAAACAAACAAAAATAGTGTGGTGCTATCATTTTGTCACTGCACCCACAGGATGTATCCAAGTGCCCAGAAGATTGCATTGAAAGGCATCCCAGCCACACAAAGAAATATGAAAGTCTGAGGCATGACGTATGACCTGTTGGCATGACTTGGCAGTCTTCCTTAATTGTGTCATCTAAGTTCAAGCAGTTGCAGCCAGGCATTTTGAATCCACTTTCAGAATGAAGATGCAATTGTAGTTTGAACCTCAGAAGACTCGATACTCTGATACTAGACATTCTCACTGCATGGATGCCAGTAGAAGATGTTAAGGGTCGCTGCAGCAAAGCCAAGAGTAGAAGGGAGAGTGGTATACGGCACCAAAGGAATTACTGCTTGTCCATCAGAGGTATGGCTATGAATCAGTCCTATTGGGGCACTGAGGGCTATACCACTGTGCAGACTGTGTTCAGAGTTGTGTCAAACCGCACAGCCTTTGCTTCTGTCGGTTTTAAGTTTGTGTCATACATAGGGTTTTCAAATGAAGCTTGTCCATTGCTGTTTTCGTGGCCAGCATAACCATTATACTGAACTTTTGGTCTTGTTCTAAAGTGAAAAGAAGCAACAAACAATTAGAATCCCGATTTACATAAAAGAAATGTAACAGCTGAAAGTATTTGTACCAGCTAACATATGAATGAGCACAGAGTAATACATACAAGGTTGTATATAATGGCAGGCAATAGTTCACACGTTGACACATATTAGGTTTTATTTTTAATTGGTGTGTGGAACTATAAAGATGGGCTTAGAAAATTGAAGGCTTTTCAAAAATTAAAGGAACATCTATGCTTCCTACTAATTAGTCTGATAAAATGGGCAGATGTAAAACTCGGAGCTACAGGAATCATAATTTTGATATTTATATATAGTCTATAAGCTATGTGACTTGGGTTAAGGCACGTAACTTTTCAACTCTTTGTAGAACAATAATACTGACAATTTTTTTGGATCTGCAAATATTAAAAATTAAGTATAAAACTCTTAGTTTAATATCAACACTGATATTCACGGTTAGCTATTTTGTAACATAATTTTGTTTCTAGTGAGTTAAAAATAAGTCAATTATAGAAGATTAAACATATGTTAAACTATGGTTTACATGCTTTAAAAGAAAATCTATTTATGATCTATAGTTCCTTCTCCTGATTTTTCCTCAAAGAAATTACAGCAGAAAAATATGCCAGCTGGTAAAAACAGAACTAAATGTAAGTAGCTATACTGGAAAGAGCACTAAGTGTTGCCTGTTGGGAAAAACAAACAAACAACTTCTATTTTAGTAATTGGTTAGAATGCCTTTACAGGTTGCAATATGTTCATTAAGGAAAGGAAAAATAAAAACGATGTAACTCTTGCAAAACTAGGCTCCTGTCAGCAGAAAAACAGTCTGAAACTGCCCTAGGAATGGGAGAGATCTTTGACATTGAACTTGGAAAATGCTCCAGTAGCAAAAGTTAGTAAGTACAGTCAGTCAAATGTTAATGAAGGCTAAATTTTTCATTTAGTCAGTCTGGTCACGAGTCGCTACGGCTCTCACATTGCTAGGGAACATGCTAGAGTGTTTTATTAGGTAGATGCAGGCTGTGAAGAAATACATTTATGCAGAGAATTCCTGTGGTGGGCCTGCGTCAGGAACTCTGGATGTGAATGAGAAAACAACTTCAAGCATATCAGTCATGGAAGAAACTCTACTAGGAGGGAAAATAAGCTTTTATCTAGAGAAGTATAAAGTCAACTCATTAAAGAATTTATATTATCTGAAGAGGGGAAGAGCCAGTGGAGAGAGAGCTAAGGACTTTATGCTTTACCTCTGCAGGGGGCAAGAACTGAGAATAACACGGATTCTGGAAGTGCCTTGGACTCTGGGCACTGTGGAACAACTCCGGGCTCCCCAGCCCCATGTTCCTCATGTGGCATTTAAGCAGAGAACCAGAAGACCACCCCCACTTAGCTGAATCAGTGGTGTGTCTACAAAGAGCCATCTGATAGCAATGTCATTTTCATTGACTAGATACAACTTGAGCCACTTGGCTTCTGATGTAATTTTGGGAGAGTTAGAAAGCAATCTTGATGGGATTAAATTTCCCACCTGCCCAGAAGAATGGAAACACATAGTTTATATCAAATGCACATGAAAAAAGTAAGATGAATGATAGCCAAACAAGCAAAGTTACTGCCTATGAGTCGATGCCAATGCAAAATGACCCTAAAGGAGAGGGTAGAACTGCCCAGTGAGCTTCCAGGGTGGTAACACTTTGCAGCGTAGAAACCCTCATCTTTCTCGGGAGCAGTGACCGGTGATTTTTAATCACTGAGCCTGTGCTTAGCAGCCCAACGCAAAACCACTATGTCACCAGGGCTCCTAAGAGAGAGATATATATATATATACTGGAAATAATATTTTTTGGATTATAAAAGAAAATATGTGAGAACCATGGAAAACTAAATGCTAGTTCCCACAGATCTGTTTTTATAGACTAAATTCTGGTTCCACTACATTACCTTCTGTGAAGCACCTAATTACTAAAGGTTTATAGAGAATGTTTTAAGATTTAAAGACTCAAGGTCTCAGGTATATTACAGATACCCTCAATGCTACATTGCCTTAAAATTAAAAGATGAGAAGTGATACATTTTTTGTGTGTAAACACATGTAATTGTGCAAAACTTTCCTTTTAAAGAAAAAGATGAACATTGAGAGCATGTTCTGAGATTTGAATAATGGCTGGCATCCCTCAGGGGCGTACAAGGCAGCATCTCTCTGATGTGCGAGAGAGGCTGTCGATCCCCAGGCAAGAGAGCGAGCCAAGTGAGATTGGAGGGTTCAAACCCACGAACCAGGCAGAAAGGGGAAGATGAGGGTGTCTTCTCCTATAAATGTTTACAGCTTTGAAAATCCTATTTAGGTTTATTACAAATCAGAATCTGGTTTGAGTTTAGAAATTAATATATATTCAAAACAGTTTTTTGAGGGCGAGCATGATAATCTTGCTTTGTACACAGTAGCAGTTATACTAATATTTGCTGAAGAAAGGGATGGAGAAAAAATTAAAGTTGTGTGTGTGTGAACTTCAAAGGGACTGTAGAAAGTATTCATTTGACGTTCCACTGGGATGTTGGAAGACCTACCAAGGTTCCCAATACAGACCATGTAGCTTCCAAGGGAAAATGTGACCCTTTACTTCTTTCATTCGAATACAAAGTATTTTATTTTTTTCCGATTAGTTATTTTCAAAAAGTTAATCATTCTGGTGTCTACTGAACAGTCTGGTTTATTAAACTCTATGTAAGATTTCTTGATTAGAGAGACTTTTTCATAGCAATATGAAAGTAAACATTCACTCAGCCAACACTGTAAAATCACCAACATTTCGCATCAGTGGCATTTCTGCAGTACCTGTGTTTGTAGAGGTAAAATGCAAACCCCGATAAAATCAGAGCAAAGAATGGGACCAGGATGGCAGCAGCAACAGAGCCACTGCTGGTGCCGTGATAATGATTTGAAGAATCTTGATCAGGGTTTGAGGGATCTGAAAGGGGATGGGGGGAGAAAAATTAATTTGCAGTTACTTTATTATGTGTGAGCTAAATTATATTTTGTTATACATTTTATAGAAGAATATGACCTCTGTAAGAAGCAAAAGGGTTTCAATTATACAAGTATCTACTTGACACTTTTAATAACGATTGTATTACCTATCTTGGTGACCGAGATACCGAGAAAGCTGACTCTTCTTGACTAACATTGACCAGTACTATGGAAGCATCTCACATTTCAAATATACATATACAAAGGTAGGGCTACACCTTCTGACTTTTGTTTTTAAACATAAACTTATGTTTCTATTTTACTTTGCAGAAAAAACAAAATAAAAACTAACAGAAATCATTCATGTGGTTTTGCCTCTACACTGAGAAGCACAGGGTTTCACATTTTCTCCTATTCTAAAGCAGAGGTTCCTCAAATTACTCATGATTGTTATTGAAATAAGTAAACTTTCTAGGCTTCTGCATGAATGTATTAAATTTTACATATGTGAATATGTTATTGTATCTACTTTTATTTTAGGTAGATTTCAAAATTCATTACATAGTTAAGAAACATTAAGAAGAAAAATACAACCCACATTATAATGGAAGACTTCAAAAGGAACTAAAAACCTGATATATCATGATCTCTAACCATAATGGAGAGGATAAATATAAACCTGTCCAATAGTAGCCAAAGAAAGCAATATAATAATTAATCTCCATCTCTCTGGATTGCCAAATATATGCTTGACATTGACAGAGGCACAAACATTTAAAATTCAACACTGCATTTATTTCTTAAGAAACTCTGTTCACATATTGATGAATTTATAAAATAAGATTTAAAATGTATATAGCATAATTGCATGTGAGCACATTCTACACACAATCTAATGAATTATAATTGGAATGATCTGCATAAAGAATCATAGAAAAAGAGTTGATCTGATATTTAGAAATGTGTTCTTAAAACATATGGAATGTTAAATCAAAAGATGAATCTTTCTTCATTAACATTGTTACAAACTGCAAGTGCAAAGAAACAAATATTAGATATTTCAATAAGAATGCGTTGAATTTTCACAAAAATACTGAATGATATTATTTCCTTGCACCCCAGTATATGCAGGATTACAAGCTACCTATCATCCTGTATATTTTTTTTTTTTAGAAAATCTATCAAAAGAATCCCTTTGGAATTCCAAGAAATAGCCATTTTCATTTTTAAGTTTTATTGGCACAAAATTCACATATCATGCATTAAATAGTTCAAGCACATTAAGAAAAGTTGTACCCAAAGCAGTCCCTTTCTGAGGTGACCTCTCCACCTTGACCCCAACAGGCCCAACAAAGCCCCTTAGCAAGCATGATGCTAAGTGGATATTTAACGTCCCCTAATGAGGTGAAGACAAGTGTGTGATTGAGGAAACCGGTCAATATTCAAACAAGATTGTCACCACATCGAGTTTGGAATAAACCTGTGCCTGTGTGAACTGGAATTCTAACAGCAGCACTCAGATAATTTATAGAGAATTTCATAGAAATGTAGAAAGATGCTGTATTTTATTGTGGTACAGTGAATTATTTAATATGGTTATTCTAGCCATAGTCTTTGTAACTAACAAAACCACAGAGTGAGACCATACAAATTGGTGTACCTCCACTTTTCCCAATGGATATGGTAAAAGGAGGTGGGGAAAATGCAAATAGATTATGTCATTCTGCTGTGAGTGATTGTTAACAGAATTAATAGAACTGTGGTTGTAATAACTTGCAACTCCAGTCAATTTTATCAGCCTGCTGAGTAAACACGAGCCATTTCAGAAGCAGGAAGGGACTGTTGGATGACCATCAAGAGAGAAGAGCCAGGCCTGAAACCGTCCTTTTGATCTCAAAATCCCTGCATAGCGAGCCTCCATCGTCGTCCAGTGAGAGAAACCTGTGACAGCAGAGAATTGGCCAAGGAAATACAGAGGAGCCTTGGCAGCAGAACCAGAAAGTAGAGCATCAAACACAGGAGGGGGCTTTTCAGAGCACGGGTTGTATAAAGTTGAGTGCCTTTGGGTAGGAGGTCTGCTTGCCAAAGGGGATACCTTCAAGCACTAATCCGGGAGCTAAATTTGCTGACCCTGAGAACTAATATTGGCTATCTTCCAGCTCAGGTTTATGGTGAAGTTTCATGCACCTTGGGCATTTATTTTAGCCTTAAAATAGCTTTATATCATTCTCCAAGCAGGACAGAAGCAAGGGAGCCACGTGGCTGAGAAATTAAGGACTAGCCAGACACCTGCATGTGAGAGAAGCTGGGAGTAGGTATTCCTGACCACATAACTGTACCCTGAACATTCTGGCACTGAATTGTAACCTGGTAACTTCCTAATAAGTCCCGAAATTGTGAACGTGATTTATGAGTCTTTGTGGTCCTTGCAATGAATTATAGAACCCAGCGGACAGGTAGGTAGTACTGTGAGAGAGGCAGCTAGTATTAGAATTAGCCCGACAGTCCCTTCCTGCTTCTGAAATGGCTCGTGTTTAATCAGCAGGCTGATAAAATTGACTGGAGTTGCAAGTTATTACAACCACAGTTCTATTAATTCTGTTAACAATCACTCACAGCAGAATGACATAATCTATTTGCATTTTCCCCACCTCCTTTTACCATATCCATTGGGAAAAGTGGAGGTACACCAATTTGTATGGTCTCACTTGGAACGTGGAAGACTATATGACCCCTTTTTCCAAGTAATTAATGTTAGGCTGATTGAGTTGAAGTCTCTTTCCCCTTTTGAAGTCAGGGGGTCAGATGCCATCTGACCATCTCACAACATGTTTTATAATTATATACTCTCAAAGTTATTAAATTATTACGCTGTCTGGAAAACCAAATTAATTCCAGTTATTTATCCCAATTTTAATCATTGAAAAAATAAAACATATAAGTGACTCTGAGCCATGCGACTCTCCAGAACAGTAGCAGCACCCCTTGGGGTGGGTTTCTGAAGCTATACAGATTTATGAAGCAGACTATCTAGCATTCCTCCTGCAGAGTAGCTTGGAGGTTCGAGATGACAACCTTTCTGTTAGCAAGTTGAACGCTTACCTCATTGTGCCCAGGGGATCCTTAAATAATACAAACATTTTAAAAAAACCAGGCCACTGCCACTGATTCAATTCTGACACACAGCGATCCTATCCTAAGGGAGCAGACAGCCTCGTCTTTGTCCCCAGGAAAGGCTGGTAGGTTTAAAACTTCAACTTTGCAGTGAGCACTCCAACACTTAGCCAACAGGCTACCAGGGGATCTCCAATAATATAGCAAAAAACGCATTGCTAGATAATCAATTTAGACTCATGGTGACACCATGCAACTGAGTAGAACTGCCCTGTGGGTCTCCAAGGCTATAACTCCAAGCCTCATCTTCCTCCTGTACTTTTGTTAGGGGTTTCAAACTGCTGACTTTGCAGTTAGTGGTCCAATGACGAATGCACTACACCACCAGGGCTCCTCTCAGGAGTATAAAGGGAATGAAAATAAAGGATCATCCCCTGCTCCAGCCTCCTCCTCTTTAATAGTGACTTTTTCTTAAATGTGTTCTTCCAGTGAAATAGTATAAACATAAATTACTGAATGTTTCCCTTATCTTATTTCCCCCCAAAGGTAGAATTTTAGAAGTACTTTCATCAACACATATAAATCAGAGTAGACATATTTATTTGTGGGGTTTTATGTTTGTTTATTTTTACAGTGCACAGGGTTCCATTGACCGCTTGTATAGTTCAGACGTTATTTAACCAGTCTACTGTTGAGTGGGAGAAAGATGGGGCTTTCTACTTCCATCAAGAGCTACAGTCTCAGAAACTCACAGGGCCAGTTCTACCCAGTCCTATAGGATCATGGGGAGTTGGAATTGCCACAATGACAGTGAGTGAGTGAGTGAGTGAGTGAGTGAGTGAGTGAGTGAGTGAGTGAGTGAGTGAGTCTACTACTGAAGGAGAATTCTCTGTCTTCTTAATGTGGGACTTCACAAAGTTCGTAAGAAAACTGAATTAAAAGCTAATGGAATATTTCTATGAACTTTGAAAGGCCCCTTGAAAAAATGCTGCAGTAAAATCCTTTGTCAAAATATACACACTTGTGATGGTCTAAATATCTAGAAGTAATCCCAAGCAGTGGATTCACTGCTTAACAGAGTTTGTACGGTTTGTTGTTCCTGTCTCTTACATAATTTCCCTCCGAAGGCATGCTCCAATTTCATCCCTACCCTTATTTCATGAGGGTCATTGCACAAACACTTGGATAATTGCATATTACCTAACTCTTGGCTTCTTCTTCTTCTTTTGTTTCTTCTCCATCCCCTCTGACTCTCCCCACCCTCCACACCTCATCATATTACTCCTGCTGCTGCTTCTATGTTACTGTGGCTACTTCTGCTCTGAAACATAATCATATATAGCATTTCCTTCATTTTATGTTTATTTCTCTAATAATGAAGGTGAGTATCCTTTCATATGCAATAAGCTGGGCTATTCAATCTTTTAAAAAAATAACAATTCACACACATAAAATTCACCTACCATATATACTCGAGTATGAGCTGAGTCTTTCAGCGCATATTTTATGCACTTTTTGTTGTAAAATTAGGTGCCTCAGCGGATATTCGGGTCAGCTTATAGTTGAGTATATATGGGATTTTAAGTATACAGTTAAATGTTCATTCATATGTTCACAAAATGTGCAGTCATCACCAAGTAAAATTTGGAATATTTTTGCTTCCTTTCCTAGGACCTCTGAACGCCTTTCTAACAACTCTTCATTCTCCACCCACCTCTCAGTTTTAAGAGACCACTATTGACTAGGTGCATAAATATCCCTATTCTAGACATTTGATATAACTTGAAAAGACAACATGTGTATTTTTGTGAAAAGTGTATGTCACCTAGGCTATTGTGTCCAATGTTGTAGCACACCTCATTCTCTTTGCTTTCCCTTTTGTTCCATTGCATGTCTGAACCATCCATGGTCTAATCATTTAGCTGTGCACAGATGCTGATGCAAATACTTGTTTTCTTTGGGTACATACACATAGGGATGGAATTATTGAATTTTATGCTGAGTTTGTTTAATTTTTTGAAGACTGTCAAACAGCTTTACAAAGGAAGTTCCATTATTCTCATTCTCATCAGAAATAAACAAGTGTTCATATTTCTCCACATCCTCCCTATACTTGAAATCTCCTTTTTCAAACACAGTCATCCTGCTGGGAGACCTGCCGACACTGTCGGGCTTGGATTACTGACTGCAAAATGGGTGGTTCAAATCCACCAGTCACACATAGGAAAAAAGATGAAATTGTCTGATCTCGTAAAGATTTCAAAAGCTTCAGAAACCCCGACAGCAGTGGGATTTGGCTTTGGTTTTATTTGATAAGAAGTGGTATCTCTCAGTGGCTTTAATTTGCATTTTCTTTATGACTAATAAGATTGACTATCCTCTCAGATTCTTTTTGGCCAATTGTAGATTTTGTTGAAATGCCTCTTTCTTAGACCATTTTTAAAACACTGGGCTATTCATCTTTTTTGTTATTTAGCAATAAGAAATCTGTATGGATACAAGATTCAAGTCCTTACTGAATATATTATGTAAAATATATTCTACCATTTTCTGAGAAATCTACTTTAGTACATAAAGCAATTTTATTGAGTTTTTTATATAACTTTTGGCATATATAGTTGACTTTCAAGATATCTCAATTATGGCATCCTTTCAATGATAATCACTTTTTCCCATTCATCTATGTATTTGAGACAATTCATAGGCTGTTTATTTTTCTCCACAAAATGAGTTTTTGTCATAATTCTTAAATGAATAGTTGTTGTGGAAGCATTACTTAAACACAAACTTTTCCATTTAGTTGAATCAAAGAAGATTAGCTTGAAATTCAAATTATTTTGTGAGGCAAATTGTTTTCCCTGACAATAAACTCATCATCACATGAGAAAAGATTCCTTGTTAAACAAAGCTGCTATTTTGTTAGCGTATATAGACATGGGATAATGAAGGGAAATATGTGGCGGCAACAAGGTCCTTCGAGTCAGGCTCTTCGGATGAGTAAACTGAGATATCGACACAGAATCCTGTATACAGCTCACTGGGGTATCCTTAAACGAAATTACTAGAGCATGTGCGATGCGAAGAAAGGAGGACAGATAACTACAGGATTTGGCTTAGAGCAAGAGAAACTTAACCCATCATTAGTGCTGGTCTAGTGCATCAATTCTAGTTTGTACTTTGAAACAATATAACCCAATTACAAATATCATCTCATTCATTGCTGGCATAAGAATTTAAAGCTCTATTATTTAAAAGTATTAAATTTAGAATAGTGTGATTAGGGTATTTGATGATTAATTACCCTTTTTTATTATATTTTAAATATATGTATATACTAATGTAAAGCATGACAATCATTTACTTTCAAACACTTCAGTATATTAACAAAAATCTTATGAATTAAGTTAATCAGAGATTGTACCCTAAAATATTATGGACATTTTACTTGAAAGGTCACGTTGGTATCAAAGCCTCCAGAACAATATGTCAATAAATTCTACAATTAAATGATGACGTATTTCATATTATTCAGAAGAAATGAGGTGTTCATCTTATTACAAAAAGTGCACTTTCCTAATCTCTGTTAGTAGCAACAACTAGAATCAAGACTTTTGTGTAAAATGAACTTTAACATTAATATTATTATATTCATATTAATATAATAGTATATTCACTTAATATTAATAAAAATCCAGGAAACTGACTTTGATAATGAGTTTGCAGAAGAAAAAATAAAATGGTTTAAAGAAGTTTAACTTATCCAAGATTTAAAAAGTTGCAAGTGAAAGAGAAAGGCTCAAATACAATTATTTATTTTGTTCTTTTGTGATTATTTTGGTAAAAACACATAAAGACTGAGCTTACATATAGATCCCAAACTTTTCCACTACATATAAATTGAAAATATTTCTGTGTGAATACATAATCCCCATTAAATAAACTACATATGTTAAATTTATTTAACAATATTTTGTCTAATACTTTTAACACAATAACATTATCTATTAAAGTGATTCCTTGCAATAGATTAGCTACTTCTGCCTGGGATATAACTAAATGTGCAGAGAAATGGTTTCAAATATGTCTGATGAAAAACTCCTAAGAGTTAATTGTTGGATGAAACATTATCCTTTTAAAGTAAAAACAGATCTCACTTGTAATCAGAGGACTGTCTGTCGTACAATTATGCAAGCCATTTTTATTATTTTTGTTTATGTTGGAATAAAGGCCTCTCCAGTACATTTCAGCAGAATCATTTGAAAATCAAGCTGATATTTATTTTTAATAATGCCTTGAGTGCAACTTACCTTGCCTTTCTAGTTTGAATTTTCCAAAGTCTTTTCCATGTATATTGCCTTGAAAGGTAAATCCTCCTCTTTCAAGTCCTGATGATACCTGGTATGTATGTAGATTAATGGAAATGTATGAAAAGCATTAATAATCTCTATTTATTAAACAGTTACTATCATTTCCCAAGTTTAGATGTCAAAGGCAGTGTATTTCATTGTTTGTCCCACTTGCTTTACTGACATATTTATAGTTAAAATTGGAAAACATTCAGAGGAACTCAAGTAACATAAAAGTGGACACTATCTCATTTTGGTCTCTAAATTGGGAGTGTTACAGCATTTGTCCACATTACCTATTTTTAATAAACAGAAACACATCTATTACTAAAAAACATGTTATTTTATAACTACTAGTCGATCAGGTATGCCATCATATAAAACTGCATATTCTCATATCAGATAGTAAATTGGAAACAAGAAAAGCTACTAATTTGAGAGGAAGAATCTGAAGGATGAAATCCCAAATATTTCCGTTTGGGTGAATGATATATAACTATATATTTTAACCTCAGAATGGGTATTCCATAGCAAGTATTCTTCTTAAACAAAAATCTTGGTTCCACCAAACTTAAAGTACAAGAATTGTGGTGTGAACAAGAATTGAACCCAGACTATAGTTCTAGTTCTGTGCCCAATGTTAGCAATTCAAGTGCTACTGGCCACTTTCTTTATTTATTTCAGAGACTTGGTTTCTTCCAATATGAAGTAACCAAAGAAACCCAACGAAGTCATTGCCAAGTGACTCCCATGGACTCCACTGGAGAGGGCAGGACTACCCGTGGGCATTTCCCAAACTGCAAATCCTCAAGAGAGTCGAAAGCCTCATCTTCCTCCTGCAGAGTGACTGGTGGTTTTAAACTGCTGACCTTGTGGTTAGCAGCTCAAAGCATAATGCCAACATAAATGGAAAGGGGCAAAATGCCTCCCCGATTAAGGATTGCTTAGTTTTCCCGGGGCATCCATATTGCTGCAACTCTTAGAAATCTTAAGTTGGCTGCGTCCTTGCAAGCAGTATCATGATTAGAACACATGCCTTTCGCAACAACTCTCACACACATACTTACATAGCCATCCAGTCCCCAGTTGTCATTTTCAAACTTGCTTACAAAAATATCCATTGGAACTTTAATCTGAAAAGCTTTCAGAAGTAAATGGGCTTCCTCCTTCTTGTAAACTCCTGCATAAAAATCAGTCAGTTATTCTTTCACCAGAAGAAATCACAAGAGTTTAAGACTCATCATTTGATTTGGAATATGGCATAAAGATGACAATCAAGCAATTAAAAAAAATACAAACATTGATTTCAGTACTTCTGTTTTGGTTATGACCACTTTTTTTTATGAAAGTCATTTTCTGTTTTGACTAGAAAAAATCCATTTACTAAGTACAACTTACCTACCCCAGAGAAAGAACAAAGGTAATATTTATTGCACTCTGCTAATTAAAAAAATATCTAACCTTTTTATTGCCTGTACTTTTAATGGAATAAGATCAATCTTCCTCTTATAGTAATGCAAACAAGTGCAAACCTAAATCCCACTCGTTCAGATTAGAAAAGCAAATCTGTAGTGCTTCAGGAATCCGCTCCAGTGGCAGAACGTGAGATGGAAGCAAATCCTCACTATGAGTCAAGGAAGAAGATGGGACACATAAGGGCATAAGTGTAGCCGGTGCCCATGCCCAGCAAGCTCATGTGGCTTCAAGGTCAATCCGCTATGACAGCTGACAGTACTCGGTGGGAGCATGAGGAGCTGTCTGTCTTTCTGTCTGCACTCACTACCTATTCGTCTCCAGTTTTCCTTCCTCTTGTCCTTTCTTGTCCACGCCCCAAATCGGAATTTTTTTTCCAAAGCTACATATTTAAATATCTTTTACAAAACAAATTTATCACCTTCAATGTACTCTCCATTATACTTAATACATTTGTCAAATCTGAGATTCCATTCTTGGAAACATCAAGAATCAACTTAATAACAAAAGCTTTTTTTTTTAGTAGTAGTAAACAATGTTCATAATACAAATCCTTACATCATCAAACTGAATTTAGGATGAAAAATATAAATATTTTAAAAGCGTTAAGACAGTTTCTGGCATCTAAATCACAAAAAACACATTTTATGTTATGAATTATGGAATAAATAAATAACTCATGAGGTTGACTACAATTAATAAAGATTATCAAAAGAATAAACTGTGCAGAGGTTTTTTTTGGTCTCAGATCTATGATTTGATGTGCTATAATCATAATCTTGAGAAAATCAATGTGGTTTCTCCACTGGTCTCATATGCTTTGAAATAAGACCATAATGTCTACCATGGTCATTGAAATTGTGCAATAAGATGAAAAACTGCAAAGACAAGCACTAAATATAGCCGAAATAAGTAGGTAACACATATTTGATCCATTGTCTGTGATTGGATAATGTGTTTTATTCAGCTACATGATGCATTTAGAAACTATGTCAGGACCTACCTGTCAACTTCAGCTCCACGTGAGCAGCTTCCCGGAAGGTTGCATTGACCTTACTACTCGTTGCATTGAACCAGTCAACAGTGAGAGTTGCGGGTTGTCTTTTCCCTAAATATTCATAATATCCCTTCCACACGGAATTAATAAAAAATACATCTGAAGGAACTAGGCATAGGAAAAATAAAAAACAAAATAGAATATTAGCATAAACTCATTTAGATCTTTTCAAAGCTAGCCCAATGACAGATGAAAAATAATAATGATGAAAACAAGGACAACATTATAATGTCCCTTCATAGCATCGTGACATCAAATTAAATGCCTAGATGATTTTGGTCACATTTGTCCACATTTGATATGTTATAATAAGAATACTATAGGTGCCGAAGCATATTTATTTTTCACAGACCTGTAAGAATCAGTGGATCTGATGAGTAGATCCTATTAATGTTGAATTTTCTTTTTATGGCACTTAGTATTAATAAGTTGAATGGATTTATGAAATAATTTATGGTATTTCACTAGTTTCCAAGTGTACTTTTTGAAAGACATAGAGAAGGTTCAGAGGTACTGATTCATCAGATCTACTAGAAATCCCTTGCCCTAATGCAGCTTGAATTTCAAAGCTCCACTTTAATTAGATATACACAGTTTATACATATGTGAGATAAAGGTATAATAAAGAATAAGGTATTTTAAGAGTCCAAATACCAATCTACATCTTTCATTTCTTGAGGTACTTATTTTGTGAATAGAAAAAGAATTCCTTTCTTCATACTTATAAAAGAACAAAACAGCAGCAACAACAAATGAACTGTCATCGAGGCAATTCCGCCTCAAGTGATCCAATAGGACAAGGTGGAACAGCCACTGTGGATTTCTGAGGCTGTAAACTTTATGAGAGTAGAAAGCCTCGTCTTTCTCCAGCAGAGCTGCTAGTGGTTTTGAACTGCTAACTTTGCATTTAGCAGCGTGATATGTAAACCAGTACAGCACCAGGGCTCCATGGTGCTTGTCGTTGTGGTTGTCGTTGTTAGGTGCCACTGGGTCAGTTCTGACCCACAGCTACCTTATGCACAACAGGAGGAAACGCTGCTAGGTCCTGGGCCATCCTCACAATTGCCTCTATGTCATTTTCACGTATTCGTTGTGGAATAATGCTATAAATATGTAAGTATTCTTATCGTTTATATTATATATAAAATATATATTTTAAAGTTTCAGTATTAGAAAGAAGACTGGGTTCAATGATCTAAAATGTCTTTTCTATACGTCCTTTAAATTCATAAGTAAAAGCTGTACTACTTTTTAAAATACATTTTATCCGATATGAACATTTTTGCAAAGGTTTTTTACATGTTCTTTCTTAAGCACACTGCTTATGAAAATAAACAATTTTTCACATTTCTGCTGATAAATAAGCATAAATACAAATGCTGACATTTTAAGATGTTAATCCAAAAATGAAATACGAATTAAACCTCAAGGCTTTTCTTTGATTCGTGCTTCACAATGAATCAAACTATCTAATTAGGAAATGTCGACCAGTAGTAGAACTACTCATTCTAAACATATTGAGTTGCGGGGCAGAAAAAAAGGTAACTTTTCTTTATACGTGTTTTTTCTTTGAAAACTCATTTATGGTCACTAATAATGAACACAAACACAGTTCACAACTTTCTTGTTTCCGTCGTCCCAATGTACCACATTTCTGACTTTTAGACAAGCTAAGCTTACAGAATTTGCATCAGAACCGGTAAAGATGGTAGAGTGTAAGAGTTTCCTATAGATTACAGTAGATACGATTACCTGAAGATAATGATAAATAAGATAAAAACCTTAGATATTACCATAAGCACCTAATGCATTTTATATAAATGCCTCAAAACACTTCTACCCATTTATCAGCAGGATTACACAGCACTTTCAAGTCACAACCCTGAAAGATACTGATTTTTTCCAGTTAGCAAAATATCTTTAAAATAGCACTAAAATTGTTTTCCCTAATAGGAATCCTTGCTCTGAGTGGAAGATATTAATGAATTATTAAAGCTGTTAAGTTAGTCATCAGTTGTTTCAAGGATGGAAAATGACTGGGTGAATAGGATAAGGTATAAGACATAAGATAGAAGAAGTGTGTTTGTATTCAAATAAAATTACTAGTGAAGAGGTAGGGATTATCTTTTTTGCGTTTTCTGTCATTTGACTTGCTGACTGGAGTGTAACGCAACAACCAAACAGTTTAGAATGCAGCATCTTTATAACAAACTATATTGAATTAGCATTGCTCTTCAATAAGAATAAGAAAAGAGAGCAAGATAAGAATGTGTACACCTTCAAACGGAGTGTTCATCTACTTCACTATAGTGAACAAGAAGTAGGTAAATAAAATAAAAATAAACCAACTCAAACAACTACAAAGACTGTATTTGCTTCCATAGAAGAAGGTGTTATTTGGAAAAAGTGCATTGATTTCTGTAAGTGACATTGTTTTTAAATGGTAGGGAAAATCTTAATAAAAGGATAATTTTTATACTTAATGGTACATATGAAAGAAATTGTTCCAAACCTATTGGGGAATACTGCTTTGTTTATGAATTAAATATGTAACAATATATAATGATTCAATAGAACTTTGGGTACTTATTCCATACTTGATATTAGAATAGTTTATCAGATTAGAAGTAATGTCAAAAAAACTAGTCAAAATACTAGTAGCATTACCATATATAAACCATAAAGTTACTATAAAATATTTAAATGTTTTAAAAGTTGTTTTACTTATGTTTTCTTTTAAAAGATTCTATCACATTAATATACTTTGGGCACATATTTCCTTATTAAAATATCGTTAAATTTTGTAACAAATTATTCTACATGATTTGTAATGAAAACCTTCTTTAGGAATTAGAACTGCAACTTTCTGATTTTCTGTGTAATCCATTTAGTGAGACAACATTTATAAATAGATTTTTAAAGGCTATTAATAGTTTAGGAGACCAAACACTACCTGAACAATCGAGAAATGTGGGGGGAAGGAGAAGACTGAATTGTTCAATTTAACAAGTTATGTTTTCAGAATCTAGACTCATCTTGCCCAGTTTAGCTCTCTCCTTTGGAGGACTGAATCGCAACCCTCTTTATAAGGCTCTCCATCATGTCACCTTGCCTTATGCACAGTTCTCTCCATTTCTGTCTGCAAAATGTCTGAGATACCCTTGAATAAAGATGTCTGGTAACACCAAAGCTTGCCTTTTTTCATTGAAGCATTGCCTTTTCATTACCAAACCACTTGTTTTAAAAGAAATAGGCAACTGAATTGTTGGCAGGTGTTTAAAATAATTGAAACCTTTATGTTTTCATGAAATCATGGAATCAAAAATTAAAAATGTTAAAAATTGCTTCACTGTGCAAAGCATCATTGAGAACAAATCACTTTATTTGATTCACATCTGTAACTGCTCTGGCATACAAACCTGGGGCTTTAGTGACGGTCTCATTAACTTCTCTCACTCCTTTACCTTCAAGGAAAAAGACAAATGATCATTTTCAAAAACATTTATTTTTGAATGTTGAAAAATGTTAAATTGAAGCAATTTTCCTTCTCCAGATTTTCTAACCGCACAAAAATTATGAATATCTTATACTTATGCATTTTAAACCCATATATCGCTGGTAAGATATCCGTTGTGCTTGTGGGAAAACTGAGTTCAATTGTTAAAAATAAATGCCTGTCTACACTGACGTCTTCCATTCAGAGTGCTACAACAGAGAGCCTTGTAAATGAGGGTGGCTTACATTAATTCTCCTTCATTGTATTAAACATAAACGGGCCCAAACGGAAAATAACATACAAAAGAACTAATATTTTATAATATCTCTGAATTATCCAATCCCTTATCCAAATCCATAAATGTGTACAATAATATTAAATAATATAAATGTATTTCCCTTCTAGAGTGTCTATTTTGGTCGATCAAGTTGTATTCATCTATTTCTGAAAATGAAAGACAAGGGAAATTTAAATCTCTTAAAAAGAGCTCACTTAAATGCTGTAATTAGGTTCCAGAAAACTAAAACCTAAGTCACTGATTTTATTAAACTTAAATATTTTGTTAATGTGGTTTTTGACTGATGTATATAGACACCTATGCTTGGTGAAACCTAGGAGGTTATTTACCATCAAATCTGAACCAAAATTATTACTCTCATGTGTAAACATGCAAATTTTTGAGTAATTAGTACATCATTCCTCGCTAACTTCTTGTGCAATTTTTAAAAATAGAACCAATGTTAAGAATACACTGACTCAAATTCCCCAATCGAATTGCTAGTGTTCTTATATAATTAAACTTTGAGACAGTTAAACTTATATATTCTGAAATACTTGGTGATGTTTATTCATTTTCACTTATAGAGACACGTTTTCATGAAAATATATTATATATTAATTTCATTATAACACAAATGATATTTCTCAACCAAATAGCCCCCCCCTTTTGTTTAAGATGTAATAAATTAATGATAAAATGTATGTATCATCACAGCCTCTGACATGGTGTTGTCAAACACTTGCAACACCCGCATTCACACACACACACAGATACAGGCTAACAAACAATAAGTCCATATTGAAGCAGGCCGACTAACATCCTTGCACGATGCTGGCTACTTATGAAACCTGGAAACTAGTCTGGTGGGAGTTGGATACTTGTGTTTTGCTGTTGGGAAAGGCCACTTCCTGATGGAGGACTTACTTTTACAAACAGGTGACTTTCCCGTCCATTTCATATCTGCTTGACACGTCCTGTGTTCAGACCCACCGGCAAGGAAAAATCCTGGGTGGCAGGTGTACACTAAGGTGTAACCAAACGTAGGAAGATCAATTGCTCTCACGTCTGCGTGGGCTGGGGTTTCTGGCTGTCTACAAGCATGAGCTGAAATGATATTTATTCCATCAGGAAACAGTGAAACTTATTCACTACAAAAGTCACTATTTATATATAAATAATTTAAAGAAAGCAAAGGGTTTCAAAATGAATATGAAAGTAGTCTAGGATTTAAAGAAAGAGAACAGAGTAGCTTTAAATATCTTCAATATGCCACACGTCTGCAACTTTCAGCATAAGAAATACTTGGTATTTGCACTCTCTTTCTGTTTAATCCTGGATGTCTGTAAACCTACTTATATATTGAACTATCTAATTTTGAATAGAAAATTAGTGGAGAGAGGATAGTTTTAAAATAAACAAATCTCTTCTGTTATACTATTATTACAAATATTTTAAATTTCTTTAAAGACAAATTCTAAACACATACAGACATATGCTCAGAAATATGATTTACTTTTCGTCTGATGATGACTGGTACCTTTATTGATTAGATAAATGAATAGTTAACTTTGATTGATAAACTTTTAAAACACTTTCTATACCATTCTACTTCTTTATGTTTACCATAGAGGGAGAGTCAAGCATGAAGATATTATATTTCACTAAAATGAAAAGGGATAATATATGAACATAGAGGTCAATATCCATTTCTAGATTGACATGATTTAGTTACAAAGTATAATTTTATCCTTACATAACTGTTTATGTATTGACCCAAATATACTTCAAAAATATAGTAAGAGCATTTAAAATTTTTCTATTTATACTTTGATATACTAAGTGACCCAATTTAGTCTCTTTTTAACAAACTAATATAAACATGCAGTGGCAGAGACAAATACGTTGTCTGTCTCTGAAGGCTCTGTTAACTATAGTTCAAGGCAATCGTTCTCAGATTATTCCATGCCTCAGAATCCCCCGAGGCCTTTCTGAAACAGAGATTGGTGCTTCTCGCACCCACCCCATTGTGTTTGATGAGGTAGATCTGGGCTGGGGTTTGAACATTTTCTTTCCTGTCTACCTCCTAAGTGATACTGACACTGCTGGTTTTAGGGCATCCATGCTGAGAGCTATTCGTTCAGGAAATTAAAAACAAACATTAGTAAAACAATTCCTCAATATTTTCTGGCAGGACTTTTTCAGTATTCAAAATGAGTAACTTCTTCCTGGCTGTCCTGGAAGAAATTATACTTACGTATACATTCAGTTTGTATTCCACTCCATGTTAAATTTGCAAGGCAAGTTCTGGTTGTTGAACCTTGGATATGATAACCTTTTCTGCATCTGAAAAATACTGTGCTTCCAACCTACAAGGTAATGCCAATAGTAGAAGAAATTTTTTTTAAAAACTCAATATAACTAATGTTTTAAAGCAGATTCCAGGGCAAGGATATGCCAGTAAATTTTCACATTAATATCAAACCATGGTTAGAATTAATGTACATGTTTAAGTTTAATGTGAAAGCTTTACATACCATTTAGATTATTAGATACATAGTGTAAAATCTTCAATACAGTAAATGGTAATGTTGTGGGAGCCTGCTGATTTGGATAAGGGGGAAAGTTGTGCCTTTCTCCCCCGGGAAGGATTTCACAGCTTTGGAAACCTCGAGGGACAGGGCTATCCTAGTGGGCTGCTGTGAGTTGGAATTGCCAGGAGGACAGTTTTTACTTCGGTCATGAACGTGTCATTTTGTCTTTAACTTCAAGAGTGTTTTCGGCTACTCAACCTAAGCAAATACCAATTCTTGCCTTTTTTGAGATTCATCCAGATGAATTTGTATTCCCGGTGTTTCAATTATATGATTATTTATTGCTACCTCAATGCCTGGCACACCTTCGCCTCCAAATCTTTACCACTCCTTCCTACGTAATTCTTGATACATATCTGGACTTTACTTCCTCTGAGATTTATTTGTCTGATCTTCCAAGAATGAACCATGTGTTGTTTTGTTGTATTCCCCCTTCATGAAATGTTAATTGTGTCTTTTGATAACATGTGCCAACAGCATCTCTGATTTTGAAAGTTGTATTGGCCTATACCTCACATGTCATATAAATCAGTCGTTCAATCATATTAAGAGTAGCACAATCAGAATTGACCCTACAGCAGTGGGCATGCTCATTTTACCTGGTCTGTAATATTGCTAGATCATGGAACCCTGTTGAAGTAAATTTGGACATAGATCTCAGGTATCCAGAGAATCCGGATAAAGATGTACTTGGATTCAAATCTTTGTAATATTCCCTTATATGATTGTAATAATTTTTAGTCACCAAGTCTTCTAATTCCAATGTCTTCTGTTTTACTAACTTAATTTTGCTATAAACTCTTAAAAAAAAAAAAAGAGTAGCAAAATCACACCATCACCGCCATCAACTTTGGAGCGGTTCCTTCTCTGCTGTACCCATGGTTATTAGCTCCCTAATTCCCCATCACCCCTCCAAGAAACCATTGATTCGGTGACTGCCTATATAGATTTACCTGTCCTAGATTTCATATATAGAAAAACATACAAAAATAAATGAAACACAACAATTAAAAAGTAATTCAGAGAAAAATCTCAATCTAAAAGAAAGTAGAAAAATGTAAAACTAGGACAAAGTTAAAATGGGTCAGAAGGGAGAACAATTGTTCAATTTTAACCTAATTCCATCTGCAACAATATGCTGCCCAAGGCACTCTGTGTGATAAGACGATACTTAACCCAGATCTGTGGTCACTGGCGATTCACCGGAGGCTTAATCCACATGTATTTCCCCATCAATGTGTTTTTTTCTCACCAATTTAACTGGAATGACCTTGAAGGAGGTAATCTCAATGATGGGGCTATACACACACACACACATTCATATATATGTGTATGTGTATATTTTCCCCATAAATAATGAGTTATGGGTGTGTGTTGGAGAACACCAACATCTCCCATGATTACTTACACTTCTGGAACATGTGGTTAGGGAATGGGGAAATAGAAATGAGAAAGGGGAAAACAGGTACAGAAAGAGAGATGCTTTAGGTCTAGAAGTCAGAAATGCACTGCATTTTTGTTTGGGAGAACATCTCTTCATAAGGCTTTAATTATGCGTGTACTTTAAAAATATTGAATAAGAATTCAAAGATGTGATAGCAATCTTAACCCTTGCTATGAAGATTTAAATTACTTAATTCCCCTATGTTTGTTTTCCATAGAGGTTGGCCCTATCTTCCTAATTAGGATTCTAAGAAGAAATATTTTGAGGATAATATATGGAAATTACACACTGGCAAGTGGTGCACAATAAATATAATAGTTTCTTGACTCATATATGAAAAACATAAATTAAAATTCCTTAATGTGGTAGAATGAAATTTTTTACTATGACTCGTCACCCATTTCCCCCACCACTTGCCCATCAGTGTGTCAGACTGTGTGTTGCCTGCGTATGATGAGGAGAACTATGTCACTGGTATTGAACTACCAGCAGGGTCACCCTTCAAAGGGAACAAGTTTCCGCAGAGCTCCCAGACCAAAAACAGACTACAAATCAGGAATCGACTTTCAACTTTGAAAAATCAGTCACAAGGACATTTCCAGACAGTGAAAACCTCATGAATAGCAGCAGAACCTTGTCAAAGATGAAGCTAGCATAGGAAGCCCTCAAGTCAGAAGGCAGTCAAGATACAACCGCGGAAGAGCTGCCTTCTCAAAGTGGAGCCGCCATAAGGAGGTGGATGGATCACAGCCCTTGGCAGTGAAGCCTTCAGAACGATATTTGCTAATGGGGCACAACTCAAAGTGAGGTGAAACAGCTGCAAACTCTATTGAAAGTGGAACTTGATATGTAAGAAGTATGAATCTAGGAAAATTGGAAGTACGAAAAAATGAAATGGAAATATATGCCTATAAGCCAATAACACTATTTTTAAAAATGGGTGAAAGATATGAATAGAAAATTCACTTAGATTGGTATCCAGTCAGCCAACAATCACATGAAGAAATCATTGAGCTCATTAGCTTTAAGAGAAATACAAATTAAAACAATGGTGAGATGATCACTTTATACCACCACTAATGGCAAAATTTTAAAAAACTCACAAAATAAAAGATGCTAAATAGGTTGTGGAAAGGTTGGTAGTGGTAGTAGGACTGCAGAATTGTACAGCCACTGTGAGGAAAAGTATGGTACCTCCTTAAATAAAATAGAAATTCTATAGAACCTTACAATCTCAATGTGACATTATTCCCAAAAAGTAAAGAACAGAACACAAACCAATATGTGCACACCGATGGCCACTGCAGCAGTTATTTGGAAACAAGCTGTCTATAGAGGAATAGCTGAATAAACTCTGGTACATGTACACACAATGGAAGAGTATGTATCTCTTAAAAAATAATGAAATCCTCAAGCACCTCAATGCATTCACAAATTTAGAAGACTTTATGCTCAGCAAAATTATTCAGTCTTATAAAGACAAATACTTTATAACACCATTAATATTTTTTAATTAAAAGATCATTTTATTGGGGGCTCTCATGGCTCTTTTTTTGCTAATTGAACAGGTCTATTTATTTATTTATTTTTAATCATTTTATTAGGGGCTCATATAACTCTTATCACAATCCATACACACATCAATTGTGTAAAGCACATTTGTACATTCATTGCCCTCATCATTCTCAAAACATTTCCTCTCCACATAAACCCCCGGCATTAGGTCCTCATATTCCCCCTCCCTCCCTGCTCCCCCATCCCTCATGAGCCTCCTTCACCCACTTTTTGGTTGTCCGTCCCCCAGGGAGGAGGTCACATATAGTTCCTTGTAATCGGTTCCCTCTTTCCTACCCACTTTCCCTCTACCCTCCCTGTTTTGCCACTCACACCACTGGTCCTGCAGGGATCATCCGTCCTGGATTCCCTGAATTTCAGTTCCTATCTGTACCAGTGTACCTCCTCTGGTCTAGCCAGACTTGCAAGGTAGAATTCGAGTCATGGTAGTGGGAGTGGGGAGGAAACATTTAGGAACTAGAGGAAAGTTGTATTTTTCATCGTTGTTACATCGCACCCTGACTGGCTCATCTCCTCCCCGAGACCCCTCTGTAAAGGGATCTCCAGTGGCCTACTAATGGGCTTTGGGTATTATTATAAAGGAAAAATATTTTTAAAATATTTTCACACAAAAAAGTAGCAGACTTTTCAATCTGTGGCAAGGGTGTAGGAAGAGGGAATGGAGAAGGAAAAGAAATGAAAGGAAGGAGGTAAAGGGGGGAAAAAAGAAAAAAAATTGAAATGGAATACAAATACAGATTGATAGCCAAGTCAATAGTGAGATGAAATTGACTTTTATTGACCATTTAGAAACAAATAATCATATTTGATAGAAATAAAGAAATATCTTATAAGAGAATTTTGCAAAACCAAATAATCATATGGTTTCCTGTGATAGGGATGAGAGATTCTAGAGGGATGATGCCGTATTAATCATCAAATTGGAAATTTCAAGACCATTTTTGAAGTGAAATGCTGTCCATGCTAGGATAATATCTGTCCACATACAAAGAAATTTAGTTAGTGCAACTAGTATTCAACTTTATGCACTAACCACTAAAGATAAGGATAAAAAAAAAAGAAGAGCTCTACTCACATTTTCAGGCTGAGGTTGATCAAACATGCAATCAGGATGCATTGATAGGTTTTGGTGATTTGAATACAAAGATTGATAACAAAGTGGAAAGAATTGTAGGTGAAAATATAGACTTGGTGTTAGAAATGAAGAAATACCTCATAAATGAATATTGTAAGATCAATGACTTCTTTATCACAAATACCTTTCCTCAACAATAGAACAGCTAAAACCAGGCTAGGGCTGGCGATAGAACAGACTGTCAATTTGCATATGTAAGTTCGGGTGGAAACTGACAAAAATGAAAATAAGTTTATAAGAACCACAATACAACCTTGAGTCTATTCCATCTGAAATTTGAGAAGTCTTATGAATAGATTTGATGCATTGAACACTAATGACAAAATCTGATGAGCTCTGGGCCGATGTCAAGAATATCATACATGAAGAAAGAAAAAGCTCATTAAAAATCACAAAAAAGAGGGAGAGATCAAAGTGATGTCAGAAGACACTTTGAAACTTGCTCTTTCTCATAGAGTAGCTACGGCAAAGGGAAAAGCTGAACAGAAAATTTCAAAAGGCAGCTGTAGACGACAAAGTAAAATATTTTAATGACATGTTCATAGGCCTAGAGGTAGAAACCAAGAGGAAGAACTTGCTAAACACATTTAAAATGAAAGAATCAAAGAAAAATTCAAGCCTCCAGTTAAAACATTGAAAGATTCTATGGAAAAAAATCTGGAATATCTTATAATAAATGAAGCCACTATTCCATAAAGAATTAGTTGACATTGAATCGTTTCAAGAAGTAGCATATGAACAAGAACCAATAGTAATGAAGGATGAAGTTCAAGTTGCACTGAAAGCATTAGCCAAAACCAAGATTTCTGGAATTGATGGAATACCAATTGACATGTTTCAACAAGCTGGTGAAGCATTGGAAGCACTGACTTGACTATAAAGAGAAATTTGGAAGACAGCTACTGGAAGAGATCCACATATGCATCCATTCTAAAGAAAGGTGACCCAACATAATGCTCAATTATAAAACAATATCATCGATATCTCGTGCAAGTAAAATTTTTCTGAAGCTCATCCAACAGCTTTAATACCAACACATTGACAGGAGCTGCCAGAACTTCACGCTGGATTGAGCAGAGGACATGGAACAAGGCATATCGTTGCTGATATCTGATGGATCTTGGCTTAAAGCAGGGAATGCCAGTAAATGTTTACTTGTGCTTTATTGACAATGCCAAGGCATTCAACTTTGTGGATCATAGGAAACTATGGAAACCCTTGAGAAGAATGGGAATTACAGAACCCTTCATTTTGCTCATGTGGAACTTGAACATGGATCAAGAGGTAGTTGTGGGAAGAGAACAAGAGGATACTGTATGTTTTAAAATTAAGGAAATTTTTTGACAGGACTGTATCCTCTCATTCTAATTACTCAATCTATATATTGAACAAAAATTAAAAATCTGGATTATATGAAGAAAAATGTGATGTCACTATTGAAAAAAGAGTTATTAACAACTTGTAATATGCAGATCACACAACCTTGCTTACTGGAAATGAGTACCTCAGGCACTTGCTAATGAAGATCAAGGATTGCAGCCTTCAGTATGGATTACAACTCAAGGTAAAACAGACCAAAACCCGCACAAGTGAACCAATAAGTATCATCATGATAAACTGAGGAAAGATTAAGGTTGTTAAGGATTCCATCTTGCGTGTATCTATAATTAATGCTCACAGAAGCAGCAGTCAAGAGATCAAATGACACACTGCCTTGAGTAAATCTACTTCACAAGGCCTCTTTAAAATGTTGAAAAGCAAGAATGTTACGGTGAGGACTAAGGTAGCCCTTACTCAAGCCTGGGGATTTTCCATTGCTTCGTATGTTTGTGAAAGTCGGACACTGAATAAGGATAACTGAAGCAAAATGGATGGATCTGAACTGCAGTTGAACTATGCATCTGAACTATGGAAGAATGTTGAAAGGACCGTGGACAGCCCACAGATCTGTCTTAAAGGAAATACAGGCAAGGATAGTAATAGTTGGTCCCAAATAACTTGGCCATGTCACCCAGAGAAACCAGTCCCTGGAGCAAACCTCATGCTTGGTGGAGCGGTGGGCGGGGAGACGAGAAAGGCGCTCTAGAACATGGATGGAGACAGTGGCTGCCTCAGTGGGCGTGGTACAGGACCAATAGTCAGGATGGCACAGGCCAGTGTAATAGTTCACTCTGTTGTGCATAACAGAGTCACCTGACAACAATAAGGCACTTAACAACAACAACAACAGTAACATGACAAAAAGGATTTGCCTCAAGCTTAAAGCTTTATGGGACGTAAAATAAAATATATTTTATATGAATTTATCTAACATATTCCCGTGAGAATATTCTTTACAGATGGGTAACTTAAGGGTTATGAGAACCCAAACTCAAAGTTTGAACCAGGAAAATGGGAATAATTTTACTTTCAAGTGAAATGGAATATGATTAAGGAAAAATATTTTTACTCCAAAACAGTAGGACTGCAGGGAGAAGAATGGGGACTTGTAGGAGGCATGCCTTTTGGTCACAACTATTCAGGATTAACAGGGTATAAGTGCAGTTAGGTGATCCCTGAAAGAAAAAGGGCTTGGACTGATGAATTATAACGAGTCCTGCTCGCTATTGAACAGAGAGATAGCCAGCTACTCTTGGTCAGGGTATCAATGGGACTTGCAACTATTTGTATGGTCCTTCATTATCATCCCCACCCTCACCTTTTCTCTTTATCTTTTGGTATCTATCTATATGATACGCAGGATAAGCAATCCCAAGGAGACATCCATAGGACCCACAGCTGGGGATGGGTGAGGGATGGAATGGGAGAGGAGAAGGCAGGGGGAGGGGAGCAATGAGCCAATAACAACAAGGATAGGGGAATAGCAAGGGTCCTAAAATTGAGGAGGGTGCAGACAGACTTTGGGCCTCTACTTAAATCTTACCTCGGTACAAGAACTATTTGTTCTAATAATGTAGCACTGTACCACACTCACCTTCCCAACATGATCACTGAAGAAAACATGGATGCATAAGCAAATGTGGTGAAGAGAGGTGATGATCCCTGGCTATTAAAAGACTTAGTGTCTGGGGTCTTACAGGTTTGAAGTTAAACAAGTAGCCATGTAGCAGGAAAACAACACATCCCACATAGAAGAAGCACACCAGCCAGTGTGATCATAAGGTGTTGACGGTAATAGGTATTAGAGTGCAAAAGCATGCAATCAACTTGATGTGAAGGAGCATGGACAAAGTGGACAACCAAATCCCACATGGAAGATAATTGGACATCCCCTCATAGAAGGGCCACATGAAGGGATGATAAATCTAGAGAGCTGCGTAGCACTGATGAAACACATAACTACCCTCTTGTTCTTTAATAGTCACTCCCCTTAATAGTATGGTCTCTGTTTCACGTCATTAATCTTGTTAGACCTGCACATGTTCATTTGTATAATTAAGAGTGCTTGGTATGTGAAAGCCAAGATAGCTAACACTTCAGAAACAGTAATGGGAGTAATGATTCTGTGAGAGTATAGGAAGAGAGGAAGGGGAAGGGGGGGAGGGGAAACTGATAGCAATGATGATTGTATAACCCCAATTAGGGTAAAAAATAACAGAATTTCAGGTGAATAGATACATTAGATAGTATAAGATATGGCAAATAATAATAAAATAATCTATAATATAATAACAAGGGTGTCTGGGGTATAGAGTAGAAAGGAAGGGATAAAGGGGAGCTGATATCAAAGAGTTCAATAAGAAAGAAAATGTACTGAAACGGATTATGGTAGCATTTGTATGATTATGCTTGATCTAATTGAAATATGCACTGTTGCAATATGTAAGAGCTCCTGTTTAAAACTTTTTTTAATATATAATGAAAAAACATAGTGGAAAAATCTAGCCTTAATTTACATATTTAATTTTGGTTTCTAAAGTCAAATAATCAAAGAACTATTGCATCACTTGATTAAAATGTTTAATGCATTTGACTTTATACTATTATATTTGGATATTTCTCCAATTCAGACTGAAGTATTAATGTCCTTTCTATTTAAAAGTAAAATACATATTCAAAATGATGTTCAGTCTGCTCATAATTCAAAAATTTTAGAGAACTTATGGAGAATATATAAAAAACAAGTGTAGCCTGTAACTCTTACATACATTTTCTTCTACAGTTTTCCCTCTAGTATTTAATCTTATCTGTGAATTCCATTTATCTATCAAATGGTGTATTTTAGTGACATACTGTTACCATCTATGAATTGTTATGTTCTGTGGACAAAATAATACAGAAATGTATAAGTTAAAAAAATTAAGACAGTAATTGCTACTATGAACTCAGGTGCACAGTTATCTCTTTTTCAACCATGAAAAACATGTAAAAAATTCTTCATTTTGTGTATCTTTATTTGGGCAAATAATAGCATGGATAAGATATAGTATGTACAGTAACAACTTCACAAATATATTTAAGTATCACTTTCATTTATACCTAAAGAAAGATATAATGGCATGTGAGTACCTCATATCCTCTAGAGCTGTTCTGTACCCCAAACTGAGGGGTGCCAGGGTCTGGACAGTTGTTATGAGAAGGATCTGAAATTCACAATGAAGAATGAAGGTCAGGTCTGGTTATCATTTTTTACAATCTTAATTTTTCCTTAAATGTTTTAAGTACTTGACAAGATTTTTCTTTGATAAATGTGCACAATAGTTTGAAGGAATGTTAAAAATTATAAGTTGCTATTTTTATCTTTTCTTCAAAATTCTGTAGATTTTATTCTTTAACACTCCATCAAGTTCTAAATTGCTCTCTGTTTATTTATAAGACTCTGTTATTTATAAGAATAAGTGGAGTGACAAGAGTTGCACAGATGACTCCGTAGGACCTTTCGAGGGCAGCAACTCACAAAGGGAGTCTGAGCCTGGAGATATAGCCTGAAGACTGTGCGTGCACATGTAGACACGACGGGGGTAGTTTTGTTCTATCTATATTCTCAACCACAACAACAATATAAAATAAATTACTTTTAAATACAGAGAATGATATCTAATGATAGATGTGTGTCTCCTTTTCATTCTCTGGTTGAATTTTCTCCTATTGGTGACATTATATCATGAGAGAAAGACAGGTGTCTGCACCCATAAAAACGTACAGCCTCAGGGACGGACCCTTTATAGTGTCACTATGAGTCACAATCGACTGGAGAGCCGTGGGTTTGGGGGTTGACATGATATTGGTTGATTAATAATATATCCCATTCAGTAATATATTGTCATCTCTTTTAGTTATTCATTCCATGACACTGAAACATATGATTATTTTTCCTCAGTACGTCAAAATGAGAACTACCATATTCAGAATTTCAAAACAAGCATATAATAAACTAAGAGGTGATATGTTTTAAAAAGTAAGATGAGAAATCATGGGCTATTCTAGGTTTCTTATTAATTCCTCTGTCACTGTTAGTAGACAATCAAAATATGATTTTTTTCAGAAGTTGTTTTCAAGAGCAATTAACATTGCTCTTGAAAGAAAGAAGAAAAATATTTTTCATATAGATATATGTATCGAAAATCCCACTGTGTCCAAGCTGATTCTGACTTATAGCTTCTACACAGGTTTTCAGAGGCTGTAAATATCTACCGGAGCAAATAACTTCATCTTCCAGAGGTGAGTATTTGATAGCAATCAGTTGAACAGAATGACAGTGAACAGTCTATACTTAAAAATAAGGGTGTTTCAATCATTTCAAATATGATAGTTTTATGTGTATATATTCTAATTCCTTAGAAAATTATCTATAATAATAATTTATTAGAAATAGGCAGACCACTCATAGTAAAGTAAGATGAACAAAATAGAAAAATAAAATTTGAGTTTTCAAGGAGTGGGACAAGTGAAAGAATATTAAATGAAGGACTATTGTTTCCAGGATGCTAACACTGTGTCATCTGACAAATATAAATTCTATGTGTTTTCTTTCACTGAAGTGGAGATTTATTATACAAGTTAATGGTTTAAATCATATATACATGCTCTATTGCATTCAAAACGTCATTCTAGGTAGTATTCAAAGATCGTCAGACATGACTTCTCTGTGCAGCCGTGCAGCGCTCTTTTGTCCGTCTCTTCTCCCATTGATAATGACAAAGTGAGTGAAGTGGGAAAGTGATTGAATGAGTGCAGGCTAAGTACCTCGGGGAAGGCTAAAACAGACTAGTTTACTTCTGTAGTGATGGTTGTTTTAGAGAATCGCATAATAACATCTTCACTGAAGGTTTCTTTGTCATAAAAATAATGTCGTCAAAGCACCTTTACTCTTATGAGGTGGATGGCAAATGTCGAAAGTGAGGCAGGCAAACAAGGTCAAGTATCACTTTAACTTACTTCAAGTGTCTCTAAACTTACTTTGTACTGTTTAAAAGAGGTTGTAAGTCAGTTTTGCTGATTAGCGATCACACAAAGCATAGTTCTTTATATAGAATATTATCTATGAAAACTTTATTTCTGTAACCACAAACAGAGTTTTTAATAGCATGCCCTCATCACAAGATATGGCTGGGTGAGCATTAATAGTTACCAATGCATGTGGGCTGTATGCCACTCCATGTGCCATCAGCTTGGCAGATCCTTCTTGAAGAACCCACTAGTATAAATGGAGACTTGCATTGGAAGAAGACTTCGGATTGGTAGGTGAAACTTCTCCCATTAATTCGCCCCTCGGCAGGAGTGCCAGGATCTCCACAGAATAGAGCTACAGAAAACAAAGGATCTAAACAAAGACTAGGTACAACAAATAGGCAATATAAATTTACACATATCAGGCTTCCCTGGAGCAGGTAAACCTATTAAAACCCTGGTGGCATGGTGGTTACAGACTAGGCTGCTAACTGCAAGGTCAGCCATTCAAAACCAACAGCTGGTCCTTGGGAGACAGGCAGGGCTCTCTACTCACAGAAAGAATAATAGTCGCAGAAACCCACAGGGGTAGTTCTACCTGTCCTCTAGAGCCACTATGAATTGGCATCAATTCGATAGCAGTAAGTTGGTTGTTATTATTATCATTATACTAGTTCAACTAGCTTTTATTAACCCTGTGGGTTTAAACATTAAGCAAATATGAAACTAAACAGACTCTATCCCTGTGCAAAGCAATCTCAAGTTTAAACTTTCAAATGTTTTAATGCAGCTGTAAATTATACATTGCTAATTTCCTCAAATTATCAATGGGGGAGTCAAATATTCCAATAGAACTAGACGTCACCGATGGTTCCTTTCCTTAGGTTACGAGTGAGGGTGCACATATCTGTCCTATTGCCATCTTGTCATTAGCAGACCATGTTTTGCTGGAGCACTTACGGAGACACTGAGGAATCTCTCCCTTCCACACCCCACGACCTTCACAGGAGAGGATGGCCGAGTGAGACAGCTGGTAACCATCAACACAGCTGTAACTGATGCTGGAGCCCCAGTGGAAATCTGTCCCTTCCACTTTTCCATGCTGCACTTGAGGAGGTTGACTGCACATGACAGCTGTTTACAAAAATAAGCAAGATTAATTACCAAAGAACTTCTCTTACAATTGGACTCATCAAATTATTCACAATTTAACTTCACCTAAATTGCAAATTAATTTTTTATAGGGTGGTATTCCACTAAAAATTAAATTATTGAGAAAGACAGCAAGTCAAATTAATAAAACATTGTGTGAATATCATAATTAATTTAGATTAAAAATATAAAACCAATGTAAAATTAAAATATATCTCATTTTAAAAGAAATCAGGTCGAACCTAAAGCCCTCAATATACAAAAAGCTAAGAAGAGAAGAAATATTTTTATTTAATATGTGATTTTTTATGGTAGTTTCCGAGAATAAATCAAATCAGGATTTGGTCATAAAACATGTGTATACTATTTCAACTTTTCAATGATAATCATATTATAAGGATAGTAAACATTTCTTTATAGATATTTAATTCTTATTTATTTGAAAATTGCATATTATAATTTCCAAAAGCCAGAGTCTGTACAATCATTTGCTTCCTAAATTAAAAAAGAAGGAAAGTGTTCTTTAAATAGTGTAATCATTCTTACCCTCCTTTTCTGAGTTGTTCCTCCTTCATTGATATAAACTAAATGGCCTTAAGGTTCCTATTTAATCTTTTGAGCTTTTGTTGTCAATTTGATCCCGGAAAAACAATTCTTGAAAGAGCATAATACTAAAGGAAGATCTTTTTCACCAGTTAAGCCAAACTATTGTTCAGTTGAAGATGGTTGCAGGGGGTATTTTTGCTCAAGTTTTAGAGATTTTCTCAAAACAATAGTTCAGGAATCTATGTACTTTCATGGCTCCAGAAAACTAGAGTATATTAAAACTTGAAATCATTTCTATAATTTCACCCTTTTGATCATGATTCTTCTATGGATTCTTTGATCATAATGTTCATAAGTGACAAACTGCCGCTGTCCAATTCCCTAATGATGGAAAGGAGGCAATTACGCACACAGTCCACATGACCCCTGTGCCGACTCCTTTCTCCAGTGACAGAGGCCAAGTATTGTACTTTGGATGCCATCTTCCTGGATGTTTATATTGGAGGGAGTTTTCAAAAGGAGAATTTAGGTGGTGGATAAAGGAGCAGGGGAGTAATAATCATATGCATTATCTTAAGCATATTCATGCTTTGTCATGTGAGAAAGACACATAAAAACACAAAGAATCACACATATCTACTCAGCATATGGTAATTTTGACATTTATCATTACAATCATCTATTCATATATTCAATGTGTATTTCTTGTGAATGCACATGTGAGTCTGGGGTAAAAGGACTTTAGGCAGAGAAAATTATAATTGAAAGGTTAGCAGTCTGGGTCTACCTAAAGCTATAAAAGGACTGCTGATACATGTTCCTTCTCCAACAAGAAGGCAGAAAGTGTAGGCAGAGAAGAAACGTGTAGCTCTGATTATCTGAGGAAGGGGGAGTGGAATGGGCTGCATACACCTAGGAGGAAATCACGAAAGAGAATCCACAAGCAGCCATGGGAGAGTCTCTGATTCTCCACTCACATGCGTCAGCTGCTCTACCTTCAGCTGGGAGCAAACTCTCCTAGACCTATCCTCCCCCCAAACCAGTAACTCCTACACATCACAAAGTGATGAGAGGAAGGTGGAAACCCCTTGGTTCTCTACATCCTCCAGGTGAATGGGACAATGACTGAATCACATCTGAGGGACCCTGTTGTGGCCCTCCTTCCATAAGCACAATGCAGTGGTGACAGCCTGACCAAGGTACAAGCCAGGTAGCAATGAAGCACACAATGGGAAACAGTTAAACAAAAAAAGAGGGACTGAAATATCACAGGTTTTCCATGGCTGCCTCCTTGGTGCCCACAATGTCATGTACTTCTGATGTCAGAGGTTGGGACCATGTGACTCCAATAGAGGCCTTGACCTCCTGCACTGCCTGGGACAAAAATCAGCCTAGTGAATGATCTTGTTTGCTTCTTTTTTAAAAAATTATTTTATTGGGGGCTCGTACAATTCTTATCACAGTCCGTACATCCATCAATTGTGTCAAGCACATATGTACACCTGCTGCCCTCATCATTCTCAAAACATTTGCCCTGTACTTTAGCCCTTAATATCGGTTGCTCATTCCCCCTCCCTCCATTACTTTTCCTTCCTCCGTTCTTTTGTCTTGGTAAAATGCCAGCTGCAAGAAGGGAAAAATCTATCATTAATACCCATATTTCCTTCTTCCACAGAAGTCTGGCTGGGGGTCAGATGGGGGCCTGGGAAAAGGACCCTAATATAGGGCATAAAAACACTACTGAACATAATGCAAATCATACACACAGACTAAGACAAACCAGATGGCTGGGGCCACCAAAAATTAAGACACTTATGTATGTGCATGAAAAGACTTCATCAAATGAATAAAAAGAGAGCCCTTGGATTGGAAAAGAATGGAGCAAAGGTATATCAGACAAGACACCAAGCTCTAACCGCTATAGAAAACTGTAATATAGCTTCAAGAAAAAGACAACTAATTGATTGAAAAATAGGCATAGGAGATGACCACAAATGTAGTCAAAGAAGGCACGCAGATGAGCAACAAACATATGAGGAAATACTCAAGATCGCTATCACACGAGAGACACAACTTAAAAGAACGAGGAACCATCTTAGAGTGGCATTGATGGAAAAGTTCAAAAAACAGAAAATAAAAAATGTTCCGGAATCCCCATAGACTGCTGATGCATCTGCAAAAGTCTCCAAAGACTGGAAACTGGTAGAGAACTTCCTCAAACAACCGGAAATAAGAAACGCCATGTGGTCCAGCAACCCCTCTTCTGACTATCTAATTAGAGATGTTAAAGACAAGCATGCAAAGATGTATGCACGCCCAGGTTTATCACAGCACTGGTCACAAGAGCAAGAAGGTGGAAGCAAGCTGAATGCCCATCAGTGGAAAAATGGATAAATAACTTCGGTACATACACATAATGGCATACTATGCATCAATAGAGAAGAGTGATTAAACTATGAGGTATCTAACAGTATGAATGGACTTGGAGAACATTATGCTGAGTGAAATCAGTCGATCACAAAAGGATAGATATTGCATGAGACCTCTGTTAAAATGGAAAAACCGAGACAAAGGTTTTCACACTAAACAAAATAAATTTTGATGATTACAGGATTGGGGAGGGTTGGGAAGGGATGGTGGAGGTATCGGTTGGAGGGGAGAGAGGTGTTAACATGGGTGAAATGGAAGATAGTATTCTACAAGAAAGAGAAGATAAATCAAAGAGTAACAGGGCAAGCTATTGGAGGTTTATACAGAATCAATTATCTAAAATATACACCTCCACCTAGTTCACAATAAAAGTTTTACAAAAGAAAGGGGAAAAAACCCTGTAAAACAGTGTTACACCCTGACACACATGGATTTGCCATTTGTTGGAGTCAACTCTATGGCAACGGATGACTGGCAGGTATGATAAAGAGGAGTCTTTCCCATTGTCCCACATCTGTGCAAACCAATCATAAAGACCGTGGCACAAGAGATGCTCGGATTATAAGCATGCTCAGTCCTTAGATGATGTATTACTACCCAGCCTCACCCTCTCATCGCTCTAAAAATGAACCCACATGTTCTGCTTTGCTCCAGCGATCGGCCCTACACTCCCTGGAGTGCCCAAGTATGGGAAGCATGATTATTGTTTGCATTTGAGCTACTACAAAACATGATGGCACTAACATTTTCTATAATATTCCCTTTGACCTTACCTTTCTACATTTACTCTACTGTCCTGAAATTATGTTCATTGTCGCTAGGGTTAAAATTTTGACAAAGACACAGCAAAGCATAGCTTCTGTAAGTAATATGCCTGACTTTGAATACTGACTCCTGCATGTTCATTCTATATGAGCCTGAGCCAACCATTAAATCTCCCTATGTGCAATTTTCCAACCTGTAAATCTGAGATAAAGTAGTAGGCACATTAACATTTAATATTTGAAAATATATTTTTGAGCAATGATACCACAGAGAATGGTTGCTTGGAAATGTGAACATAATTTGAAATAAACATAATTCAATAAGGCTGTTATGCCTATAAGTAAGTTTCTAAGGTAATAGCACAGACCTTTGCAGACAGGCTTGCTCTGATTCCAGGTCCCGTCTTTAGTGCAATGGATAGTGGAGGCAGCAGCGGGTTCCATAAAGTAGCCAGGGTTACACTGATAGCCAACTGTCTTATTGAAGGTGAAATCACTCCCAAACTGAATGCCATTTGCCAGTGTACCTGGGTCACCACAACTTATAACTGATAAGTAGACAACATCAAAAAGAATCAGAAAAATACAACAGTTATTAGAAAGTGCATTAGTCGTGGCGTCTAGTCAAGTCACTCTCGCTGTGTTGTTATTTAAAGCAATTAAGTAATGAATTACTACGGTACAAACCTTATCTGGCATTTTTGCTGACCCATTGTCAGGAAGCTACATGTTTGCAATCACTTATTTCTATTCCTGTGGTGACAGTGATACAAGTTGCCACCCACTGTTTTAGTGTTCTTAACCAGGTATGGGAGGAGCCCTGGTTGGGAGATGGGCCACCTGTTGGGCGGTTAGCTACAAAGTCGGCAGTGCTAGCCCACAAGCCCTCTGCAGGAGGATTTCTGTTCCGTACACAGGTGCTGATTCCAAAATCCACGGGCAGTGGACTTCTACTCTGACCTCGGGGGCCGCTGAGTCAGACTTGACTCGATGTCAGTGAGTCTGACTGGGAAAGTGTGGTTGGTTAAACTTGGTAGAGTGTGTGATCAGACCCTACTGAGCCAGCCCAGAAGCATAGGCTGTGACCGAAAACCAAACATTGGTCCTGTTTATGTAACTAAGTGGTTGACATAGAGTGAAAACCTTGGCCTTATAAAAGCTCAGTATTACAGTGTCCAACCCAAATTAACTTCAAGTGTAAAAAGAAGGTGGGAAAAAAATTAAAGTACGTAATTCATAAATATGGTCATGATATCAGATATATGTTTTCTCCCATCTTCTTCTCTATGGCCTGAAATATTATTAAGATATTTAAAAAAACAAATTTGTGTTTCTCTCGACAGGTTTCCTGCGAGTACCAAGTCTACTATGAGAGTTACTAACTTGTGCAATCAGGAGCTGTCCCGGTCCAGGTCCCATTGGCTGTGCAGTGTCGAGTCATCAGCCCTGAGGTCTTGTAGCCCTCCCAGCAAGCATAGATGACGGAGCTGGAGAAGAGCACCCCATCGCTACTGAGGATCATGCCATTGGTGGGCGTGCCGGGATTGCCACAGGACATGGCTGTTAGTGAGACAAACGCAGTGGCACACCAGGATTAGTCAAATGACAAATACAAAAGAGCAAGAGTACTGATTTGAATAGACTGGATGCTTATCAACAATCCAAAGACATATTTTATAAAATATGCTACATATTTTTTCTAAGTGTCTCATACCATTGCTATTGATTAGTTACAAATATAAAATACAATTTTATAGTATCTTTTCTAAATTTCATTACTTTAAAACAAATTAAATGATCAGGTAAAATTTGGAGAATTTGAAAACATGTTACTTTGGGAATTAACTTTTTTTAATGCTCAGAGAGATAGAATTAAGGTGATTTTTTAGGATGTATGTAATAATAGCAATGACAAAAATAATTTTTGTTTCATGTGGTAGCTGTGTTTTATTTATTTATTTTAATCTAGGTATATCAGAATTAAGGCAGGTTCAGTTTGGAAATAAAGATACTTTAGCAACAGGAAAGACTACAATTTTTAAAGCTAACGGGAGCAGTGTTAATTTGCTTCACAGAATTGTACTTTGTACTTCTCTGCAGACAACCTTGCCGCCATGGACTTTGCCTCAGTTACTAATATCTATATTCAGGGTATCAATATTGTGTGCTTTTTAATCAGAACACAACACAAAAAGAAAGTTAAATTGCTTCTTGGTACATACCAACTTAGTGATTTCCATGGATGATGCTTTTTTTTTTTCTTTTGGTCTTTTCAACTTAAGACAATTAGTCCTAAATTTCTTATGCATTTTCTTTAGTGCTTCTACAATGGTGTAAAATAAGCAATAATATTTGTGTATATATGTGTGTGTGTGCACACACACACATACATGTAGTATGATCCTTGGTAGGATTTTAATAACAAGAATATATCATGATATCATTTCTGAGACTAAGCAATCTTGGAAAATATTCCTATTTAGTTATTTCACTTTAAAATCTAGCCATTTGAACAAGATTTTTTCTTAAAAAACAGAAAGAAAAGAGACTACAAACGTTACACTTCATATAAAAGTCATAAAAAAATGTCATTATAAAACAAGTTAGGACATTTCTTTTTATATTACACTGGAAACATACTTACACTCATATATAACTAGATCTTGTTTTTCACAGATAGAGCATGCATGCTGATCTTTTTCTATCTGTGCCCATGAGAGATATAATTTAGCAATTATAACCCTCTTTCCTAATCAATCTGAGTTTAGATTTACAAGCCTTTATAGCATACATCTTGCAGCAATTTCTTAGTTGGCATTTAAGATATGATGATATATTTACTAATCTGGAAATGGATTATGTTAAAGGTTTTCTAAAACATGGATGTTCTATAATAACTATAGTTTAATTGAAATTTCCTATTGCAGATGGTCAAAGTTTGGGAGTATTCAAGGCAATTTATTCATTGTATAGTATGGGCAGTGAATATACTAATGGGAGGCTTGTCATATAATAGAATTATATTTGATTTATTCTTAATTTAATAAACTACCAAAAGATATCCCGTTTTACTAAAATATTATTTGCTATAAAATCTATGCAATGATGCTAAAACTAATTAATCAACTAGTAATAATATTTCAAATTAGTTTATAAAAAATACTTTTAGGTAATTAATCTCCATCATGATAAAGTTATCCTAATAGTGGGAAAATTCTCTTACAGATTATAATCTGTAAAACAAAATTGATAGTGAATTTTTTCGGTTTTGTTTTGGCTCATTAGGAACATTTCACTTGTGGTTATAACTATGAAGATTAAGATTATAAAATAATGCTAATTTATCTGTTTTATATCAATTTTATAATGTCAGCAGATCACTTATGGTTTTAACTATGAAGATTAAGATGATAAGATAATGTTAATTTATCGGTTTTATATCAATTTTATAATGTCAGAAGATAAAATAGACTAAAACAAAGAGAAATTAAATGTAGAGTTCATGGAAGAAAAGTCATGGCCATTTATGGAAAATAGAGCAGGATGTAGCTAGGCCCTCTGCCATGCTCTATCTCCTCTGGCTCAGATCCCATTTGATCCCTCAGCTATTCATTGGTTGAATTTCTGACACAGGTCTCTTAATCTGTGTTAGTCGACTCACTCCCCTCAAGCCTGTTCAGCATCATAGCAATAGCAAAGCCTAATTAAAGGACGGGTGATGGCTGTGCATGAAATGCATTGGCTGGCAATCAAACTTGAGTCTCTCCAAAGGAAGATGAAATGCTACCCCTAATGCTTCATAAGATTAGACCTACTCAGTCACCATTTTAGGAGGCATTCATCTATGAGGAACTGCACTTACAACCTTCTGCTTGTCTTTTGTTTGCCATTTTTAATTTGTTTTACCTCTTCTTAGTTATAATATGTACTACATATAGTACTGCAGCATGCAATTTACTGATATTATTGTTCTTCAATGTTCACTCTATGATGTATCTAAAACAATGTTCTTCTAGTACAAGGTGGTTGATAATCATCCCCAGCCTTACCAAGGACTTCAATTGCTTGAAAGCAAGAACGCCAACTCAAAACACTGTGTTAAAGTCAATAGGCAGATTTGGGAATCCATAATTACCACAAAATATATGAAAAAATCATATATTTTTCTTATTATATTTCATATATATTTCTCATATATTCTCCCTAATTTTCTTAATAGAAATACTTTCCACATTCCTAAAGATAATCCAAATGATCCAGAACTTTACCAGAGTGAAGTTATTATAGACGCCAAAATATCAATGCTTCTAAACTTATGTTTATCATTGGCATGTATTTTTATGATTTGCACATTTCTTTATATGTCTATTAAAATATACCTATAAGTTTCCATGGAGTGTTTTTGACCTCCAAAGAAAAGCAAAGATCGGATTTATAAAGATAATGAAAACAAAATACAATCAATAGTCGTGAACAATGGGGGGGAAATGTATTCAACTCATCTCAGCACCCTCAGATGACAAAGTCATCAGAGTGGAACAGCCTCAGCCAGGGACTGCCTACCTGTACATGGAAAATACTTAGAATAACAAGGAGTTAAAAGTTGCAAGATTGTTGATGTTATTTTGATTTTTACTACCATTTGCTTTATCCATTGCTTGAATTAAAAAGTTGACATCCTAACACAAGAAGGGGATTAAGAGTTATTTAATGTGAAAGATACTAAATGATTAAACATAATTTAAAGTAATGGCTTTGTAAATACCCATTATCTGATGCTTTAAATATTTTAAATATTTTCATTTTGTGATTTATTTAGTCTCCATTCTCCAAATTATTTGGATTTCTCACCAAGATTAATGGTTTTCTATAAACTCAGATGAAGTGGGAAATATTGAAATGTACATAAGAAGTCATGGCAAAACTTTTCTGAAATGCAGACCACATTGGTTATACTTTTATGTACAGAGATTACAACATCTGCACCCCAGAGATTTGTACCTATGATAGCAAGGGAGAAAAACAACATTTATATAACAAAACTTTCCATAAAACTATGCTTCAGATTTTTGTTTGGGTCTGTGTTTACCCATTCGCTTCTAGTCACCCTTTACCATTGCATTGTGTACTGCATACTGGCAGGTGACCGCCTCAAATTTCAGTCCCTTCTACATTTGTACAATGACATTTTGTAGAGAGTCAATTTCATGAGATATACAAAGTTAAAAAACATATTTTCAGTATTACAAGATTTTTATAATGTATCTCCTTTTCAGTGTTCAGTCATCATTAAGAGCCATATTTCCTGAGTATTTTACAGGCAACTTTTTAGTTTCTTTCTTTAGACAAACTCAGTGTTATGTTAAAAATATTTCCCACAGTCTAAGCACATTGTGTAGTGAAATCCAATTAAACTCTCTTATTGAAATAAATGAATTCATTTAAGCATTATTGAAATAGAATGCACGACTTTATATTATTATAGCCAAAAAAAAGAATAAAATTTCATGGACAATATTACTCATTCTCAACTCTTTAAATTTTCCAGCTTTTTACTTTGCAAAACCAAAGTGCTTGAGATAAACTCAATATAGAATGATGGTCTTTTTCATAGGTTAAATAACATTTCAGTTCTCTTAGAGTGTGATAAAGTATGCACTTCTCTCACAAGTTCAGGGTTTAAGGTAAAGAATTAAGCTCAGTATTTTATTTAGTATTCTTTTTTTTTCCCCTTTGAACAAACATGTGGTTAGTCCGTTTTTGAGTCATAATGACCCTGACCAGTGTATCTGACCCTGCAAGTGTTAGTAGGAGGAGACAACCTGATCTTCCTCGTTTAAACCAACTGCTGGTTTACCCCTGACTTTGCCATGAGCAGCTCAATGCCAAACCTGCAGAACCACAGCTACTTATAACCGCCTCTAGAAAGTCCAAATAATTTTTCAATAACTAATGCATCCATACCCATTCCTTATTATAATTATTGAGGAAATATGAACGCAAATTAAAATATTATGACAAACTCATAGAGGCATTAATCAACTCAAACTCCAAAAATCAAACTCACTGACATCAAGTCAATTACAAGACATAAACAAAAATATTTAAATGTGAATCTAATGCGTCTCAACCTACCTGGATTCCAGATGGAGAAGTCTAGATCTGGGTCTAGATTTACTTATTTCCGAAGGTGGTATGTCCATCTTTCTAACACTTTCCCAAAGAAATCTGTACTGTTTGATTTGTACTATATCAAAATGCAATTTGGTATCAAGAGATTCAAATTATTTTCCTTTTAACTGTTCTATGAATTTTGGAAATATAAGCAAGTCTTGGGAAGCAGAATCAGCACCATATGACAGTTAGTGTTTTCCAGTGAAATTCTTGAAAGACAGACTTGCTACCCTCCAAGAATGAGACTGGTGCAGAGTTGTGATGGAAAACCAAAACAAAATTAAAAACCTTTGTGAAATCATCCTTACCTTGTTCTCAACCATGCATTTTACTGGTTTACTGAAACTTTTTTTTCCATAAGCCCCTTGATTGTCCTGTGCCCTCTA